CTAAATGGACTGGGTTAATTTAATGCGTTTCGATAGATACTCAAATTCAAGTCATCTATAAGCCATGAATAAGTGGATGTCGACCATTTATGTCAACCTTTTTGCTAGAAATGACTGGATTTAGAATGGTAAGGGTGGTTAGAAATTTTTTTAGAATTACAACAAGAAGAGGAGCGGAGAGGACATAAATGAAACAAGAACAGGTTTTATCCTTTTTTTTGTTGAATGCAAAGTTGGTTCTAACGGGGTATGCTTCTTACGCGCTGCTTTCCGTCCAAATTGAGTGTTATTCTGTCAATTGTCCCTAATTGGCCAAAATTCAGAAACTTTGAGGATGAAATGTATTCTTAGTGAAACTTTGTGGGCGAAATTGGTTATCAATCCAACCTTTGAGGATGAAAAGTGCATTTTTTTCTTAGAAAATATTTGCAAGTGAAAATTCCTTTAGTGCTCATGTCATTCGTTCATTGATTTCATTGCATTGAATTCACTAGCCAGGTCTTCACCAGATTTCGTGATAATACTCAAATATACCATACATTGTCCCAACGTCACCAGCCACTCGACTGAATTCGCTTCTGACTCGAGTGGACTGGCAATGAAGGGTAAGGGTCCAGTTCAGCCAAAATGTTTACACTCATGCACAAGTATCATTCAATTATTGAAAATTCACTTTTGCTTGGGTCGAGTATGATAAAGTACACACTTGTCCACGAAAATCCATTTACCAATCATTGGAAAGCATTTAATATTTCGACAACATTCACAATATTTCACATAGTCATTTAAAACATACACAAGCAAGAATCACTCGCCTTTTAACGTAAACCAAAGCTAAACATTCGACCCTAAAAATAACCAAGACAAGATGTCATGATCTGATCATTCAAAACTTAGGTTAATAAAGTACTCACTTTAGCCTTAATCATGAGCCATACGCCTATCTAAAATCGGCTCCTCAAAACACAAATTCAAAGACAACTTGAAAACCAATCGAAGAATGTCCAAGTGCATTCTAGGACTATGAAGTACACTTGTTTAAGACCACAAAACCATCCAAAATCACATCAATTAAAGTTTAAAACCTAGAAAAGTTTTCTCAAAGTTTTCCAAATTACACTCAATTCATTTGACAAAATTTCCAGTTTTGGCGACATTTTTTGAAAAGTATAACTTGAGTTCCATAAGTCAAAAAATCATAAAACTTACACCATTAGAAAATAAACTCGAAGTACTAATAGACCTTAGAAGACATCTTCATGAAATTCAACTCATCGGTTAGTCAAATTTTTAGTTCAAAATCACTGCTGTCTCATGTGCAAAACAGAACAGTCATGGGTTTTTAAGAAATTTTGTAAATTTTCTGGTATTTATAGGAGTTGAACCAACCTCTGATTTTTACACGGTTAAAAGAGCTATGAGTCTAGTTTCAAATACGAGAAATGGAACTCAATTTGGATTTTTCTACACCAAGATATAATAAATTTTCCAAGACTGTTCAAAGTCTCCTGCGGGAAAAATTTTCAACAGCACTTCCCTTTATTTTCCCTAATTTCCAGCCATTTTCAAGACTTCATTCTCATCACAGGACAGCTCCAAATCAAGTTCACAAGGTATATGATACATAGAGTACTATTTTAGCCACAAAACTAGCTATAATCAACTTATACCTAAGCTGTAAAATTCTCTACCAAGGCTGAAATTTAGCAACTAAGGCTGGAAATTCTTATTTGGAAACTAAAAAGTCACAATAAAGCTACAAATCTTTATACAAGTCCATAACAAAGCGAGATATCATCATACCATAGCTGAAAAATAAGAAACAAAGCTGGAAAAATGAACCTTGGGCTGAAGTTTCACTAATCTTCACCAAATCTAAGTTATCATCCATAAAATTCCAAATTTCATGTCATCTTCACCATAATTTGCAAGAATAAGAAAGAGAAAGGAAGTTATTCATTTTATACCTTCAACCCCTTGAAGAAAGTGAAGAACCAAGGCTTCCTCTCCATTACAAGTTTCCTTGCTCCCTTGGTGCTATTTTGTTTGGTTTAGTTTTTGTGATTCTAATTTAAAACAAGGCAAGAACCAAGATGAACTTGGTGGTTTTCTTCTCTCTTTTTCTCTCCAAACTCACGGCCAAGATGAAGAAATGAAGGAAATTTTGTGCTAGGAAAGATAAGAATGGAAGAAAGCTTCTTGGTCAAAGGTTGCATGGATGGCCAACACTTGGCAAGCCACCAATTTTCCTCTTGTTTTTGTTTCTTTTCCTCTTGTTTTTTGGTCAAAAATTTTGGCTGGCCTTAGGATTAAATTAGCGAGGATTAAATGAAATAAAAACAAGGAGATTAGAGTAAGAAAGTATTGGTCAAGTGGTGTACTCAACCGGTAACAAACGGCACACGTCGGTTCAAGCCTACTTTCTTAACTCTCTTGTTTGTCTCTAATTCCCAAGATATCTAGGGTTTTTCCACATAACTCTTAACACCTCATGTCACATAATTCTTGATGCACAACACTCCTTATTTATCAAATTTATTAGTCACACCTTGCTAGTTAGCCATACTATCTTAATGTACTACGACACTTATCATGCATTAAAATATAAGAGGGAAATTATAAAAATCTTGACTCAACTAATGAAATCACCATGAAATTTAAGGCTAATAAATAGTTAAATAGTCAAGTAAAGAAATATAAAAGGAAATATAATTTAATTTTTTCAAAATTGGAAGGAAATTCTAAAGAAATTTTCGGGTTCTCACAGATATACACTCAAATATATCAAGTTTAGTACTTAACAATTTAGTAACTTAATGAATTCACACTTTAGATTTTAGATTTCAGACTTCAATTTTATCGAACGCACCATAAGTTTTTATATGACAAATTTTGATACTAATGGTTTGTCAATTGTTTAGTAGATTATAAGTTGCTTATGATCAAGTTACTTGAAGGCCTTGTAGTGTATAGAATGGATAACAAGGTTAAAGGATGAAAAGGCATTAAGGTCAAGCCACTATAGAGTAATATTCTTGTAAGTTTTGAAGTCGCCATTTTAAAAATTTTCTATTTGAACTCTTTAGGTTAACATATGTCTATTAGGAAAAGTATGGATTGCCTAGTTATGATAGGTTCTATGTCTTTCTTTAAATCTACTCAAAACAGAGTTTTACAAACTATTTCTTTTCTTAAATATGTCTCGAGACATTTTTGAAGTTAAAATCCATTTTGAACTTTGAAAAATAAATTTCAATAACTTATTGATTTGTTCAATTTCTGGCAAAAATTAATTTGATCTTGATTTTAATGTCCAAATACCTTCTATCTTGGAAAGTTTCATGAGTCCAATATTGTCCAGATTCCCTACATAATCTTCTAGTATTCTTTTGTGTCTACATTCATTTTCTTTAAATTTCAAACATGTATTTTTTAAGATATTTTCAAATTCATATCTCATCCATAATTTTGACTTGGACCCAATCTTCTTCCAACTGAAACTTAGTTTTTTTTTATCAAACGGCAATTTACGTTCTTGAATTTTTAACTCTCACATCCTTCTAACTATAGAATAATTTTAAAAATATCTTTCCTATATGAGTTATTCTAGTCCAGATTTATTGTTCATGGTCAATCCAGCCAAAAGTTGATGAGCTATCCAATCTTCGTGATAGTTTGCTACATATTTCCCATCGCTTTAGGGAGACTAATCACCCAGCAGATGCTTTAACTAATGAGAAGGCTACTCAGTCTAGCATATGGATTTATAATTCGGCATTATAGTTACCTAATTTAATGCGAGGGGAAATTAGAGTAGATAGGCTTTGATCCCCCTCATGGAAGTAGGAAATATTCATTAAATTTGTAAGGATCTTTTTCATTTTTAATTCAGGTTATTTGTAATGCTTGGGAGGTAGGGTTCTTTGTCCCATTCATTTGTACCATTTTGTTTTATTGATAAAATCTAGGGGTCTATGCGGTTTGTCAAAAAATATCTTTTGTCTAGTTTCTTTTATTTTTTGTTGTTCTTATTATTTTGAGAGTTATACTTGCAATTTATTGTTGTGTTAATCTGATTATTGTTTATTCATATTGCAAGTGTTTATTATCTTTTTTTTTGGGAGAGGGGGTTACAATATATCTTTGGGAGTATTTTATACTTAACCCTTTTGCTTTTCTTTAATCAAGTCCAAAACATCCTTATAGTTAGCCAAAAGTTGCATATCAACCTATTCATTTCCCCTCTAGATTGACCTATTCGAGACAATATATTGAAATTCTAATATAATTCAAGTCTAATATAAATTTAAAAACACCAGAAATGATTAACTTATATTAATTATAGCGCATTGTCTTTCTTTTGCTTCTTATTAGAAGCGCACACGCTCTTCTTATTAGAGACTATACTATAAGAAGCAAAAGAGAGACAATGCCCAAGTAAGCCTTAATGAGAACAAAGATATTACAAAAATTATTACAATAGTATCTAAGAAGAGAGCCTCTATGATATCTAAATTGAATATGGCTTCAACTTTATTCAATTCAAATGAATGATGATATGACTCTAACGTGATCGTACATATGTGCAATGATAAGTCCACATTTAAAACCTATGAAGATGCTTCTAAAGGGCATGCAATATTATAGAGAATTATGACATTGCGAAATTGCGTGGCAAAAGGGTTAGGGGTGTGCAAAGTCGAAAAATTTCGATTTCAAAATCGATTTCGAATTGAATTCGGAAGTTCGAATTCGGAAGTTCGGTAATTCGGTAGTGAATTCGGTATTTCCGATTTCGAATATGTCGAATTCGGGTCGAATTCGAAACTATAATTTTTGAAAACGGAATTACCGAATTCGAAATGGTAATTCGAATGCGGAATTCGAAATTGAAAACGGAATATCGAATTTGCACAATACATATATAATATATATTATAATATTATATAACATAAAATAAGTTAATAATTGAAATTAAAATTGAAAGCCAAAAACCCTGATCTCTTCAGTTTTCACTTACTCACCAGTCACCTTAGCTCTTCCGCCGCCCTCTTCGGCTCTTCCTCATCGCCTCTCCGTCACCTTCCTCATCGCCTCAGCCTCTTCATCACCTTCCTCTTCGTCACCTTCCTCTTCGTCACTGGCAAAGATTTGGCTTCTCGAGGTAGAGAGTTTGCTCAAGGGAGTGAAGGGACTACTATATAATACTATCCCTGTCATCAAGGTCTCCAGCAAGGATCAGATCCATGCCCTCAACGAGATGGAAGGTTCAAGTGAGTACTAGAAGCAAATCATAGCAATTTGGCAAAGAAGTGGTCAGGGAGTTAGCATTGCTCGCATCATCCTTTTCAAAGACTTTGTGCAATTGTGAAATTTTGCCTCATCAGACCACCTTCTGCTGCAACGAAAACTACTTAATTACACATACATTGTCTTGAAAGGTACGTGTGTGCGTGTGTGTTTTCCTTGTTAAAATTTTATAAGATGATGGTGTTATATGGGTCGCTGGTTCTCTTGTATTTTTTGCTTTTTGTGTTTAAAGTTATTGCTGTAAATGTGGAAGGACAAAATCCAGATGCATTTTGACAGGTATAAAAGCAGATTGGCTGCTGGCTACGGTAGCTCCTTATTAAGGTTCGAGCTTTGCCTAGCATACAAGGGACTTGATTTTGGATTGTGATTAGCAAGTAACTTTGCTCCCGTATGTGGAATGCATTTCTTTTTTTTTTTGTTGGGTCCTTGTTTCTGGATTGTGTTTCATGGAATGGGATAATTGCACGAGTACAAGAGAATGTGTTTCCAATTCGGTGAATTCGGAATTCGGTGAATTCCGAATTCAATTCGGTAGCGAATTCGAATTCGGTAGTTGCCATTTCGAATTCGAATTCGGTCGGTGAAATTGAAGCCAAATTTTCGAAAAATTCTGAATTCAACTTCCGAATTACCGAATTCGAATTCGATGCACACCCCTAAAAAGGGTTGTGAACTTGCAATTCACAACCGTTAAGAAATTGGTACTCCAAATATTAGAAAAAGTCTTGTATTGGCCAATAGGCTGAATAAGAATAGTCTTAGAGTTGTACTTTTATTCCAACAAAATAATTTTGTACAAGAATGGTGTATCTATATGACAAAACTATTTTTGTGATGGAATATTTCTATTCAATATTAATAAAGTTTCTATTATGATTGTATTGTTGATTTTTCTTATTATATATTACATGGTAGGGTAGGACATATAAATAATAGAAATTTATATTTTATGTGCGAAACAAAGTTTGAAATATATACATCTATATATATATATATATATATATATATATGCAAAAATGATTGGATTACCTTTTCCTAGGGGCAAAAGAAATACTAATTTGCTTGTTATTGTACATCCTGATGTATTTGTACTAAATGATTTTCTAATAGTAGGTGGTAATAAATATTTCATTACCTTTATTGATGATTGTTCTAGATTTGTACATATTTATCTTATGAAAAGTAATAATGAATATTTTACCATGTTCAAATCTTAAAGTTGCTTGTCAAAAACCAATTAGATAAGAAAATCAGAGTATTGAGGAATGATAAAGGAGATGAATATTTTCCTAGTAAATTCTCAATATCTAATGAACAAAATAGAATTATACACCAAATAAGTGCACCATATCTTTTACAACAAAATGATTTGATAAAAAGAAAATTAAACTTTGGAAGATATGGTTAATTTTATGTTAGTAAGTTTTGGATAGCCAAATAACTTATAGGATAAAGCATTGTTGGTTGCATGTCATGTACATAATAGAACTCATTCATTGAAAATAAAAGTCTCTTCATATGACGTATGAAATGGGAGAAAAGCAAATCTAAACTATTTTAAAGTTTGAGGTTCCATTACTTATTATAAAGTTCCAGATAATAAGAGAACAAAATTCAAACCAAAGGCACTTAAAAGTATATTTATAGACTATGTAGAAAACTTCAATGCTTATAGGCTGCTTGACCTTGATTCTAATATCATTGTCGAATTAAGAGATAAGCAATTCTTTGAGAATAAATTTCTTGAAGATTCAATGCCTATTGTGGATCCTACTAGTGGTCTAGAATTACTCCAAAATATTAGTTCTTCTTCAGGTAATAGACGAATGAAAGTGACATCCCTATTGAGCATAGAAGAAGTCAAAGACTAAGGAAAGCAAAGCATCTACTTTCGGATTTCATATTTTCAAAAGTTATTATCTTCTTGATTGAAGAAAATAAAAAAATCTTTACAAAATAAAATACTAATATTATTGAATGGAGAAGGATACTAATCTTATTGAATGTAGAAGATGATCCTAAAACATTGAGTGAAGTAATGTCATCAAGAAATGCTTCATTATAGAGAGAAATGGTAAATGATGAATTGAACTCAATATTATCTAACAATACTTAGGTTCTTTTATGGATTCACACTAACTTTTAAATCAAGATTAGTAGTTATAGGGTTTAAACAAAAGGAAGGAATAGACTATTTTGGTATACATGCATTGGTTGCTAGACTTACATATATTAGAGTGCTAATGTCATTAATTTTAATGTGCAATTTGTTTGTACATCAAATGGATGTTACAAAATGGCAACTTAGATGAAAAAGTGTGTATGGAATAACCCAAAGATTTGTTTTGCCAAAAAATGAAAAGAGAGTATGCAAACTAGTTAACTTTTTGTATGACTTGAAACAAATACCTAAATAATGGTATGAAAATTTTGAATTTGTGTTACTCCCAAGTGGATTTAGGTACGATAATACTGACAAATATATTTATTCTAAATTCATTCAAGAGTATAGTGTGCTTATTTGTCTCAATGTAGATGACATGCTAACTATTAATAATTCTATGAAAGGTGTAAAAGATACTAAAAAGTATCTTTCTTCAAGGTTTAAGATGAAAAACTTTAGAAAAGTGAATACTATTTTGGATATCAAAGTCAAGAAACATAGTGGAGATTATGCTTTATGTCAATCTCACTATGTTAATAAGCTATTGAACAAGTTTCAACATTTAAAGGTTAAAAAATTGAGTACACCTTTTGATCATGGTTTGAAGCTTCTTGAGAATTTCAGAAATTCAATTTTTTAACTTGAATATGCTAGTTCAATTGAAAACTTGCTATATGCAATGCATTCTACAACAACAGATATTGCATATACAGTTTGTGGACTTGCCAGATATATCAAAAATCTAAGTGTAGACCATTGAAAATACATTGAAAGAGTTTTTGGTTATCTTAAAAGAACAAAGAATCTAGAACTCTTATATAACAAATTTCCTATCGTGCTTGAAGGTAACTCGAATACTTGTTGATTCTGTGAGGACCTGAAAAATTTTTTCTACTTTATTTTATTTCTTCAAATACATTTTCTTTACTTTACTTTATTACCTTAATTTTCGAGATATTTTTATAAGTGAGTCCAGTTTTTAAATTATTTTCCTTGTATAAGTTAGTTTATATTAAGTTTGAAACGTATTATGAAAGTGGGACCCGCTAATACGGTAAATGCGATAAATTTTTGAAGATTAGTAGGAATTTTACACAAAGGGATATTAATTTATAAGGTGTTAAGGGATAATTAGAAGATAGCTAGATAGTTTAGCCATTGGAAGACAACAAGATGAGGATTAATTTTGGCTAAACACTTGTCACAAAATTTTTGGATCTTTGACCTTGACCAAAGACTTTCTTACCTCTTTAATAAAAACAAAATATGACCAAAATTCCTTCCTTTTTCTGCTAGTCTTGGCCGAAATTCTTGAGGGAAAAAAAGGAAAGGAAACTTCATCTTCAACCTCAAATTTCTTACTTGAATCTTGAATTTAACCACTAATCTTGCTAACTATACGATAAAAAGTGATATTCAAGGAAGATTAAAGGCTTGAGTGGAGAGATTTTGGAGGAACAAGCACTAAGTTTCCATCTTTCTTGGGGTTTTAAGGTATTTATGGCAAGAAACTTCTCTTTACTTCTAATACTTGCATACTAGTGGTTTAGAGTTGAATATTGTTAGTTTTATGAGAAATTTCATGGTTTGAAGTGGAGATTAGGAAATTTTCAGCTTTTATGGGGAAATTTCAGCCCTTATATGATGCTTAAAGTTGGCCATGATTTGATAGTTTTGCCATGTAAAATATCTAGTTTTTATATGTTAGTTTGGCTTGTTTAAGGAAAAATTCCAGCTTGTATGTGAAAATTTCAACTTTGGGTTTCCAAGAATCAGCTTGAGTATGGTTGGTTTTGAGCTATAATTTTGCTATATTTGGATAGTTTTGTGGCCTTAATCAAGTGTATGCTATAACGTATGACTTGTGGTTGTGGTTGAGGTTGATTTGAGATGAAATTTGCTGTTGAGTTTGGATGGAAAAGTAAAAAAATAAAGGGATGTGCTGTCCAACTTTTGGGACAGTTTGTTTCCTTCAAGTTTGGGTTGATTTTGTGATAAACTTGCTTAAGATGCTTTATAAACCTATAAGCTTTGCTTATGTGTTGAATTTTGGTTGAAATGGAAGGATTTTCATTGGTATTTTCCCTAATTTGCTAGCTGAAATTTTGCTTGTTGGCCAAGTGATAGCGAAGTCTATTACCTTGTTGTTGTCTAACCTTTTCATAATTGATTTTGGCCAAAACTTGTTCCAAACCTTGGTTAAGACTTTTGTGTGGGAATTTGAGTGAAAACTATGGAGATTGGGAGGTGAAAAACCTCATGATTGTATTTGTTTCATGGCTGTGAAAAATCCTGGTTTGGATGGCAGCTTTGCACCTTGCTATCTTTTAGTCTCAAAGTCTTTAGTTTGGAAGTTTTTTGGATACACTCTCGTTGACTTCACTTGCTAAAACCTTGAACAACAATTGTATGTTGAGTTGGAGTGAATATCCTAACCAAAAGAGGTGCATTACCTTGTTTCTTTTCATTGTTTTGTTGCTAGAAATTTCAGCCATGAATTGGAATGAGGAACTCTTTGGTTGCTCATGTCCCTTGAATCCAAATATCTTCTTTTCATTCCAAAACTATATTTACACCATTGCACTAGTAGTTACTTGGATTTTCTTTGGTTCACCTAAACTTTAAATGGTTGAACCATAATACTTTATCTTGGTTGTTTTTAGGGTTTGTTGGTGATCAAGTGCATAACTCGGGAGCGAACTTTTGACGTTATTTTGCTTAAACTGATGAGTGTTCTTTGTATATTGTGCTTCCAATGACTATATGAATTGTTGGGAATGTTTGTTTGAATGTTAAATGCATTTAAATGATTGTTAAATGAATTTTCAATATGCGAGTGTGTACTTTATCGCACTTGACCTAAGTGAACGTGAAATTTTCAATGATTAAATGATTGAATATTACTTGTGCATAAATGTAAGCCTTTTGGTTGAATTGGACCCTTACCCTTCGTTGCTAGTCGACTCGAGTCAGAAGCAGATTCGGTTGGGTGGCTAGTAACTCTGCAACAATGTTTGGTATACTCGAGTATTACCACGAAGTTTGGTGGAGAACTAGCCAGTGAGTACAATGCAGTGAAATCAATCAATGAATGACAATGAACACTGAAGGAGTTTTCACTGTTAAATATTTTCTAATGACGGAGGAATAAGGGAAACGGTCGGCAACTGAATGACTGAATGAATGGCTCCAAGTGAGTATGTATCCTTTCAATGAATGAATGTTTATTTCTTGAATGACTATTTATTATTGTGCAAAGTGTTCAAATTGTTAAATACCATACTTCTATGGTTTTTCTACCTGATTGCTTGTTTAGAAACCTCATTGAGCTTTTAGCTCATTTCATTAGTTTGTTTTCCTTACAGGAATGGAGGCTGGAGCAAGTAGGCATGAACTAGGGTGTACAACTTTCATGTACTTGTACCTTTGTAAATGAGAGATATTTGGAATCTTTGGAAATGTAATCCTATGTTTTATTCTTGGATTGTAAATTAAGTTTGAATTGTTGGTTGGAAAGGAAACCTTTTATGTTAATTTCAAAGCTTGAATGACTATTTCAAGAACATTAGTGAAGGAGTTCTGGCGAAAATTGGGCAGGTGGTCCGCTAAACTCTTGGGTAAGCCTTAGGAGAAGGTGGGGTCGTCACAGATTCACTAGTGTGATGACAAGAATTTCACAACCAGGTGAATATTCACTTTGGTGCAATCTCATGGATTTCTAAGAAGCAAATTGTGATTGATCACTCCATCATGGAAGCCAAATTTATAGCTTTGGCTACTGCATATAAAGAGGCAGAGTGATTTAGCAATTTAATATCAAGTTGTAGCCACAACCTATGCATTCGATTACTTTTTATTGTGATAGTAAGGTCTGTGAGAACCCGTAAAACCCTAATATTTTTCCTAGGGTTTATGTCCCCTTAATTGCATGTTTTCTGCATTTTCTGGCTTAGAAATAATTTCCTGGTGAATTTTATGAGCAATTATAGTTTTAAGATGATTTTTCTAGCATTGGAGAAATTTTAGGAAGTTAAGAGTAAATAGTGGACGTGGGACCCACTAGTGCGAAAAGTTCGGAAAAAATTCGGCCAATTAGGTTAAATTCCGATACTGTGTAAAATTTATCGGGTGTTAAGAGATAAGTAGGGTGTGTGAAGTGATTGATGTGAGAGAGGAAAGAAAGATAAGAATGCATTTATGAAGGTGACAAGTGTCACCTTCTTATTGGATGCCTTTTAAGAATTACTATTCACAATTTTGACTTTTTTGACCAAAGGTTAAATATCCAAAAATTGCACAAAATTCACCATTTTTCTCTCCTTGTTGGCCGGCCACCTTGAGCAAGAAAGGAAGGAGATTTCTTCAATTTTCAAGCTTCTATTTGGTGCAAATCAACCAAAAACATTTGCTTCCATCCATTTCACTCCATAAAATTCTTCCTTCTAGAGCTAGTAAGTTGTTTGGTGAACTTTGTTTGAAGGATTAAGGTGCCCAACATCTTCTTCTCTCTTGGTTCTTGGTATGTGAAGCTTGAAACACCCTACTACACCTAATGATGCTTATGTTGTGCTTATTAGTGATAAGAGTGCTAAAATTCTGGTTTTTATCTTGGTTTGAATTGTTTTGGTGAAGTTTTTATTTTATTGGGATTTTTTCTGGTTTAATATGATCTTGATGTTGGGGGCTTGTATGATGATTTGCAATGGACTAAAATGGCTCTAGTGGATGTGAAATGTGGTTAAATACAATCAATTTTGGATTTGGTGTGAAATTTGAAAAGTTAGGGTTCTTGAACCCCAATTCTGTCCGGTTTTAGATCACTGGGTTAGAGGCCGAATTAGACTTTGCTCAAAACATGAAAGTTGTAGGTATTGATGTGTTTGAGGTGCCTGTAAAATGTCAGGTCATTTGGATGAGTGTAGAGTGAGTTATGCCGTTTTTACTGTAGCTGTTCTGCTTTGATCAGAATGCGAAAAACTGCGATAGTAATTGGACATTTTGACTGGAATTGGTTTGGATTTTGAAGTTGGTGTCTTCTGATGAAATGTAGCTGGATGACTTAGCTAACTTATGCCTTTGGAATTTCGGCATTTGGACTTGTATGGACTGAGATATACCGATTACAGTTTTTTGTGTTTTGCGAACCTGTTTTAGGAATTCTGGGTTAGTATTTGGCATTTTCGACCTAGTTAAGCTAGGAACTGGATTGAGTGACCTTCTACATTGTTGTAGCCCTGTTTCATAGCTTCGAAACGGTGGGTCTTACACCCCCATCCGATAACCGTAGAGAATTTTACACCATTACCGCATAATAAGGGCAAAACAGTTTTCTATTTGGGGCCAAGGCTAAGGCCATTGTCTAATTTCTGGTTTGCTATTATGCTCATTTATGCATATGAAACACTATTGGGGTTGTGTTTAGCATTGCTATATGACTCGTTATCGAGTCTCATTGCATTTGTTGTGTGATTCTAGGGCGTGACGGTAGCTCACGACGTCTTGGTGACCGTGGTGTATGAAACACCATTTTCTTACTTGGTGAGTATACTACTCACTTACTTGTTATAATGTGGCTTTGTGCTATGTGTATTTGATGCCTTGAAGGCTTACTTGGTTATTGGAAATGATTGAGGTGAGGGTGTACTTGATCGCACTCACCCCTTGTGATTTTATTCATGGCTATTGACTGTTTTACTGAAATACTGCACTGGATATATGAGATACTGCATTCCATTCATGGAAACTGATTTGATGTCGTTGGACGAGTATCCAATGGCTTTACTGCATTTATGAGCTCAACCCCGTATGGTAGTTAATTGGATCGAGCCAGCGAGGGCTTGGTCGTGAAAATTATCATGCCACGGGGACTGTACTGGGGAACCTTGTGGTAATGAGACCCTTGATTCCGGTAAACTCGAGTATTACCAAAAGCTACTGAAATGGAGTGCGGGCCCGGTTGGGGTATGTTAGGTGGAAGGATTGGAAGTAAAGGGTGGTCTACGGTTTGGTACTTTTAACATTGACGGAGAGTCAATGAGGTTGGATCAAGATTGCAAGCGTGGAAATGGGCTCTTGAGAGCTGACCGTATCCTTTTACCGTTTTGCTTCATTGCTCATTTGTGCACTTTAAATGAAAGTTCATTCTTATATGACTTTGATTGCTTATTGGGTGGTATACCACTGGGCTTTAGCTCATTCCGTGTTATTTGTTTTCCTTACAGGGTGATAATTACTTTTGAGAATGGGTTGGATAGTCAATTGCCGAATTGAGCATGTAAGTGTCTTTTGTATTGCTCTTGAAGTGAAACCCTAATGTATAACGGGTTCATTTCCTTTTGATAGGCAAATCGAATGTGTACTTCCTTAGTGAATGGTTTTGGCTTGCCGTTGTGGCTTGTAAATGGCTAATGTTATGTTGTATATGTTTTTCGATGCTTGGTTGGGTTTCGGACGGGTCGGTTACTATTCATGGCCGACTCTGGAGTTCGTTTCTTTTATTTTGGGATATTTTGCCCTTTTGCCTTGTTGCGCGCGTTACAAGTTTCAAACGTGATAGATCGCTTTATACTGCACCGTTAGTCCTGGCGAGAGATGGGCAGGCAGTCCGCTAACCTCTTTGGTTCGCCTTAGGGGAAGGTGGGGCTGTCACAGGTGGTATCAGAGCCTAGGCTTCAGATCTCTATAGTGTATCCTAAGTTTGAAGTTTAGGATGCCTGACTGTGAGATTAATTTGAATATTATGTGAACGAGGAGCTATTGTATCCTAGTGGGACAAAGAAATTGATTGTTTGAAAATTCCTTATTTGGGACTTGTAGGAAAAAATTGAGGAATTAGATGACTAGTGAAAGATTGGACGAATTTGAATTCTATTATGTTTGTAAGTGTGGAAGGAATTGAGGTGATTCCTAGTACTGGCCATGGCCATGGATAAAAGGTGAGATGTGATAGTCAAGTTTTATGTGTAATGATTTTGAACTGAGATAAAAGGTACCAAAGGAGTAAAATGCATTTTCCGCCCACATACCTTCTAAAGAAATTATGCTTTGGAATTTTAAAGAAAAACTAGGAGGTACTAGTTTTATTTGCAAGCGATGATTGGAAATAAGATATATACGTTTTAAGTATGTATAATTTGCCGATTTTAGTCAAAATGTGAATTTGACTTGAAGTTCAAAGTTGAAAATTTGTGAATAACTGATGAGTTGTTGAATTTTGTATATGATGGGTGGTTAAGGTTAAAAGTTTATAAACTAAGTTTTCCCCTTGATTGTATCTTTTCGCACTTGAATTTTTCTATGCTTTACATGAAAACAAATATATCTTGAGTTTTCGAAAGGATGGTGAGCTATTGTAATTATAATGAAAATCCTGAACTTGATAAGTTTCGGATTACTTTATATACTTTACTTATGGTTTCAAATTCTTGACTTTCTAGAAGGGTAAGCTTATCTTTAAGTGTACGGACTGAGGGACTTTGAGATATAGAATGATTGTATTCAAGAGTACGAAGTTAGTGAGCCTATTTGACTTGGTTTCCATTTGACATGTAAGTTAGCAAGTTGTATTTGTTTCTTGGATTTGAACTTGGAGCTTGAAACTTTAATTACAAAACCCTAAGACTGGTTGATTTTGGAGATGATGGTGTTCTGACTGGTGGCTTGTTTATTAAAGATTTTGAACTTCGAATGGATAATCTTGGTTCCAGCTTGTGTTATGGATTGATTGGATTTTTGGTTTAGCTATAGCCCTAGGAAGGGTGGTGCACGCTGTGAGGCCTTTTGTATCCTGCTTGTATATATTACTATATTTTGTGGCACTTAATTGCCTATATGCAATATATAACGTATTGGCCTTATTTTGTGACTTTTAATCCGTGCTATAATTTTTGATACCTGTAAAGAATCATGTCCTGCTTATAAACATTTGTGGACTTTGTATATGCATTAAGCTCTTTATGCCTAATGATGCTTTTCTTATGTTTTTCCTGTGCTTATAGACTTCTATTAAGTAGAGCAGCAGGAATGAGAAAAGGGGACCGTGGCCGAGGGCTTAGACAATCCTGTACTTGTGAGACAAATTGATGGACAGTTTCATATAATTTAATGGGTCCCCAGTGCTGAATATGAATTGAGAATAAACCAGAAGGTTAGATTTACCAAGGGATAATGGTTTAACCTAGTCGGGACCTTGGTAAGATTTTCTTGTGCTCAACATATATTACGATTGGTTCTGTGACCATATTTCTATCTTAGGAAGTTTGAACTCCGAAAGTATTTCGTTGGTTTGGTGAGAAACCTTGAACTACCTGAAATCGATTAGACTGAGCTTACTTGAGATTTGAACCTGTTTAGGCTAGTGTGGCCTTACATACCTAATGTGGACTTGAATTTGTGACTGCTTAAGAATGTGAATTGCTGGACAGAGGCTAGACCAGTGTGTTCTTACTCGTACTCATGATCCTTGAAGTTGAACTTGAACTTGCACTTGAACTTGAACTTATGCTCTTATTCGTGCACATGCACCGTGAACCTGAAGTATTTGGCTCTGCTTTGACCCTACTCTTGAACTTATTCGTACTGGTGTGATTGTAAACCGGCTACTACTCTTCGGTGACGGTTGAACTGAACCTCTCTGGCGAGGCATGCCTGTTGTGTTGTCCAGCACCGCCTGGGACAAATACTTGAACTGAGGCTTTTGGTGAAGTATAGCCGTTGAGCTAGCTTGTTGTGTTGTCCAGCACCACCAGGGCCGACTTACTGAACTGAAATTCTTTGGTGAAGCGTAGCCGTTGTGCTAGCTTGTTGTGTTGTCCAGCACCACCAATGATGAATTTTCGATCTAAAGCTTTGCTATATCCTGAATTTCTTTCAAATACCTGGGACTTTACGTCCGACTTCAAGCCTTTTGCCTGTTTTATCTGGTTACGCGTTTAACTCCCTATTGGATCATGACTATTTGATAAGTTGGATTGGCATGATATTTAGTACTTGAATATGATAAGTGATTATTTGATAAGCCATGCTTTACTGGATCATGGAAATACGATAAATGAGATTAGAATGATTCTTAGTATTTGACTGACTTTGAGGAAACTTATGGAACCGGGTGAATACAAGTTGGATTAGATTGAATTCTAATGCTTGATTGGTTTCTGAGCGATATCTTGACCGGATGTATATGCGTTGAAATTTCGAGGACGAAATTCTTTTAAGGGGGAGAGAGTGTGAGAACCCGTAAAACCCTAATATTTTTCCTAGGGTTTATGTCCCCTTAATTGCATGTTTTCTGCATTTTCTGGCTTAGAAATAATTTCCTGGTGAATTTTATGAGCAATTATAGTTTTAAGATGATTTTTCTAGCATTGGAGAAATTTTAGGAAGTTAAGAGTAAATAGTGGACGTGGGACCCACTAGTGCGAAAAGTTCGGAAAAATTCGGCCAATTAGGTTAAATTCCGGATACTGTGTAAAATTTATCGGGTGTTAAGAGATAAGTAGGGTGTGTGAAGTGATTGATGTGAGAGAGGAAAGAAAGATAAGAATGCATTTATGAAGGTGACAAGTGTCACCTTCTTATTGGATGCCTTTTAAGAATTACTATTCACAATTTTGACTTTTTTGACCAAAGGTTAAATATCCAAAAATTGCACAAAATTCACCATTTTTCTCTCCTTGTTGGCCGGCCACCTTGAGCAAGAAAGGAAGGAGATTTCTTCAATTTTCAAGCTTCTACTTGGTGCAAATCAACCAAAAACATTTGCTTCCATCCATTTCACTCCATAAAATTCTTCCTTCTAGAGCTAGTAAGTTGTTTGGTGAACTTTGTTTGAAGGATTAAGGTGCCCAACATCTTCTTCTCTCTTGGTTCTTGGTAAGTGAAGCTTGAAACACCCTACTACACCTAATGATGCTTATGTTGTGCTTATTAGTGATAAGAGTGCTAAAATTCTGGTTTTTATCTTGGTTTGAATTGTTTTGGTGAAGTTTTTATTTTATTGGGATTTTTTCTGGTTTAATATGATCTTGATGTTGGGGGCTTGTATGATGATTTGCAATGGACTAAAATGGCTCTAGTGGATGTGAAATGTGGTTAAATACAATCAATTTTGGATTTGGTGTGAAATTTGAAAAGTTAGGGTTCTTGAACCCCAATTCTGTCCGGTTTTAGATCACTGGGTTAGAGGCCGAATTAGACTTTGCTCAAAACATGAAAGTTGTAGGTATTGATGTGTTTGAGGTGCCTGTAAAATTTCAGGTCATTTGGATGAGTGTAGAGTGAGTTATGCCGTTTTTACTGTAGCTGTTCTGCTTTGATCAGAATGCGAAAACTGCGATAGTAATTGGACATTTTGACTGGAATTGGTTTGGATTTTGAAGTTGGTGTCTTCTGATGAAATGTAGTTGGATGCCTTAGCTAACTTATGCCTTTGGAATTTCGGCATTTGGACTTGTATGGACTGAGATATACCGATTACAGTTTTTTGTGTTTTACGAACCTGTTTTAGGAATTCTGGGTTAGTATTTGGCATTTTCGACCTAGTTAAGCTAGGAACTGGATTGAGTGACCTTCTACATTGTTGTAGCCCTGTTTCATAGCTTCGAAACGGTGGGTCTTACACCCCCATCCGATAACCGTAGAGAATTTTACACCATTACCGCATAATAAGGGCAAAACAGTTTTCTATTTGGGGCCAAGGCTAAGGCCATTTTCTAATTTCTGGTTTTGCTATTATGCTCATTTATGCATATGAAACCCTATTGGGGTTGTGTTTAGCATTGCTATATGACTCGTTATCGAGTCTCATTGCATTTGTTGCGTGATTCTAGGGCGTGACGGTAGCTCACGACGTCTTGGTGACCGTGGTGTATGAAACACCATTTTCTTACTTGGTGAGTATACTACTCACTTACTTGTTATAATGTGGCTTTGTGCTATGTGTATTTGATGCCTTGAAGGCTTACTTGGTTATTGGAAATGATTGAGGTGAGGGTGTACTTGATCGCCCTCACCCCTTGTGATTTTATTCATGGCTATTGACTGTTTTACTGAAATACTGCACTGGATATATGAGATACTGCATTCCATTCATGGAAACTGATTTGATGTCGTTGGACGAGTATCCAATGGCTTTACTGCATTTATGAGCTCAACCCCGTATGGTAGTTAATTGGATCGAGCCAGCGAGGGCTTGGTCGTGAAAATTATCATGCCACGGGGACTGTACTGGGGAACCTTGTGGTAATGAGACCCTTGATTCCGGTAAACTCGAGTATTACCAAAAGCTACTGAAATGGAGTGCGGGCCCGGTTGGGGTATGTTAGGTGGAAGGATTGGAAGTAAAGGGTGGTCTACGGTTTGGTACTTTTAACATTGACGGAGAGTCAATGAGGTTGGATCAAGATTGCAAGCGTGGAAATGGGCTCTTGAGAGCCGACCGTATCCTTTTACCGTTTTGCTTCATTGCTCATTTGTGCACTTTAAATGAAAGTTCATTCTTATATGACTTTGATTGCTTATTGGGTGGTATACCACTGGGCTTTAGCTCATTCCGTGTTATTTGTTTTCCTTACAGGGTGATAATTACTTTTGAGAATGGGTTGGATAGTCAATTGCCGAATTGAGCATGTAAATGTCTTTTGTATTGCTCTTGAAGTGAAACCCTAATGTATAACGGGTTCATTTCCTTTTGATAGGCAAATCGAATGTGTACTTCCTTAGTGAATGGTTTTGGCTTGCCGTTGTGGCTTGTAAATGGCTAATGTTATGTTGTATATGTTTTTCGATGCTTGGTTGGGTTTCGGACGGGTCGGTTACTATTCATGGCCGACTCTGGAGTTCGTTTCTTTTATTTTGGGATATTTTGCCCTTTTGCCTTGTTGCGCGCGTTACAAGTTTCAAACGTGATAGATCGCTTTATACTGCACCGTTAGTCCTGGCGAGAGCTGGGCAGGCAGTCCGCTAACCTCTTTGGTTCGCCTTAGGGGAAGGTAGGGCTGTCACAAGGTCACTTTGTCTAGAGTCTTAAACAAAGTGTACAATAGTAAATCTAGACATAATAATCTAAAACATGAGTATATTAAACAAATGCTAAGAGATTGCATTATGATATTGTATATGTAAGAACATACAATAATTTAGCTGATCTGTTGACTAACTTTTTGCTAAGAGACTTAGTGAATAAAATGTGTATTAGAAATGGAATTAAAATCATTTATCTACAATCACTAGCAATATGAACCCTATCTTTATTCTAGCATTGCCATTAGATAATGAGGTTTAAAGAGTAACAATAGATTGTTAAGTGATTGTGAGCACTAATACTTTGTGTACAAAATTACCCATTAATGTATTAAGTGTGAGATTGAATATATGATGAGTTATATTCTTAATAAAATATAATTGCTTATCTTCCATAAAATGAGACTCACTAAATCATTAGATCATTGTCTACTTGTAAAAGGTTGGGGAATGCTATGCAAGTGTTGTTAAAAAGAATTAAGAGATGGAAAGAAGAATCTCGGGAGGTTGGCAAGCTCACATTCGATAATTTTAGACTTTGAATTTACTTTTCTTAATCAAACAAAGAATAGCAAAGCCAAAAGTATTCCAAATCAACTCCATTCTAACACTAATCCAAGATATGTTTCAACTCCATATGAAATAATATGGTGCCATTTTAAGAAGACATTGTTCTAATTTTCAAAATAGTTCTAGTTGCCTCTGAGAATGGATGAGAAGTTGGCATAACTAAAATAGATTCATCAGTCAAGATTATTTCTAGAACCATCTTGTCAACCTTTCTTCCTTTAAGGAAAAATTCAAGTTATCCCAACTAAGTATACTAGAAGTATAATTTGATATATTTCCTATTTGAAAAAATGATTGAAGCATTGTTCAATTTGATGATGGAGAGAAGCTGGTATGAGAAAAATATTGAACCAATATGCTAAATTGCAAGTAAGAATGAGTTTCATTACCTATAATCTACTAGTATAGGATAAGTAATGAGCTTCCCAACTACAAATTCTTTTATTTCTAGAATTCAATAATGATTAATAGTGCTCTATCATAAGCCTTGAAGAGAGTAAGAGAGTTCAAAACCTTTTTCCAAAAATTTGTAGTTTTTAGGGATGTTGGCCTAATTTGGACTATAGTGTTTCAATAACAAATAGGAGATTTATATAGATTAGCAAACAAATCTAAAGTCATTACTAAATAAGGAGAGAATATGTTGCAATATGATTTCTCACTAGATAGTTGCCCATAAAAACAAGAAGAATCATCAACAAAGGCGAGGTGAATCACCCTAGGTCTAGGTAAAATTGATAAACCTGCATTTCTTGATTAAGAATAGTATCTTCTAAATTGTCAGAAAAATTTTGCAATAAAAGAATGAATAAATAGGAGGGTTGCCTATTGCCCCAGGCACATGCAAAGTAAATTACAAAATCAGCATACCCATAATTGCGAATTTCATCCCACCTATACAAACTCTAATCCATATAGGTTTTTTTTTTTAGAAAATTTAGAGTAGATAATAAAGCTAAAAAGAAATCCTAATAAACTAAATTCAATGCTTTGTGAAGGTCTACTTTGTTAGCCATACAAGGCAGGTATTTCAAAATATGATAGTTGTAGATTAATTCATTGCAAAGGAGAACATTTTCACATACGAGTCTGCCTTTTATGAAGGCTAATTGTTTTGGATGAATAAGGTGATAAATAACCAATTGAAAATAGTTAGAAATGTTTTTAATTATGGCTCAATAAACAATATTGCAAAATAAAATTGGCCAAAATTTTTGAAAATGAAGAGAGGGAGTCAGATTTCTGCAATTGAATCTGCCTAATTTTTGTTAGTGTGTTAATCAAAATCATCTTCTTTGATTCATAATTCTATTTTATCATTAGTTGTGTTTGCAATTCATAATTTTCTAAAATGAATTGAGTTAAATTCAAAATTGAAACTTCCAAATATCAATCTCTTCAAAAGAAATTTCAAGAAGGTTTGGAGACTAAAAAAGTAGGAAGAAGACCCTGTTGGAGAGCCAAAAAATATTATACAAAGAGTTGGCTACATATAAAAATAGATTGTAAAAGGTTACTGATGGGAGGGGATAGCAATTTAGTGCTAATGGACAACATGGATGTCCTATCTGTATAATACTACTGTATCTGGTTAAAAAATTGTGTTACATGCTCTATTGAAACAAAATTTATACCATTTTTCCATGAAATTTTTTAATATGATATTGTCAAGGAGGGACTCTACAAAGTGATTGCAAATACAAAAAGCAACAACACATTTAGTGTTAAAGTTGTTGAGTTGGAGAACATTGATGATATAAATATTGAGCTACTTGACGCCTTAGCTGTTAATGTTGTTTAGCATCCTACCACTTGTAGGTACTGATGATACCAACAAAGCAACTCCTCCTACAATTATTGATGGTATTAGTGCTTATGTTGTTGAAGGTATTGATGGTGATTAGTATGATATTGGCAATGTGCACATCCGGCTTACAAATGACGAGTTTATATGTAATTTATAAATGTGTTACCACTTGATAATTGTGTATAATTTATAAATGTGTTATTACTTGATCTTTGATTTTATTAAAGATGTTTGAAAATTTTGATACTTTTTGAAAAATATTTGATAGATAAATTTTGAATTTTTATCAGTATTTTATAAATAGTTCGTTAATATTTTTATTAAATGTCTTTTTTATAAATCTCATTGGACATTAGCTCATCAAGTTTTATTAAAAAAAATGTTTCCAAAACTGGATAAACTATCAAGACGATGGTCATATGAAAGACCATCAAAAGCTCGGGATTGGATACATGTGAACTTGATTGGAGATTTAGTTTTATATTATGGTCAAACTTATATTATTGTCTTGAATTTTGTATAAGTTTTATTGTATTATTGAAAAATTGAAAACTGTGAAAATTTAAGGATTTTTATAATGTATGCATTTTATGATTTTACCTTGTTAAGCCTTAGTAAGAACCAAGCAAGTGGTCAATTCCCCTATTTTTAATAGGATCGGGTTCGATCGTTACATTACTAACTTTCATCAATGGGATATAGACACATACACATAGACAAATATGTTTCTAAATCCTATTGAAAACTCTAATAGTGTTTTCATAAGGACTAAGAAACCAGTTTCTAATACAACTCTTGTTTTGGAAGACTTATTCATATTTGCAACATAAGTTTCTCAAGCTTAATTTGTTTTACAAATTAAACTTCAAGTTTTGCAAACTTATCATTCAAGTTCTTACTTGAATATCTTTTAATCTTGCATAAAAACCTCTTGACCTGTGTGACCATTAAGTGCTCAATTACATTAACAATAAGTAGAAGTTAGAATTATTAATGATAGGGAAAATGACATGTTTCATCCGTCACATTTCGTAAAAATATTCTTTTTGTCCCTCACATTTAAAACGAAACAAATTGGTTTTTTACATTTAAAAACTGAAGCTTTTACATCCTAGAAATAAACTCTCAGTTGTGAATCAAATCATCTAATAACCCGATTACAAATTTTGGAGGTAGAATTGGTAGATCACTCGCAAAAACATATTTCTAACAAATAAATTAAGGCAATTAAAAAATCTTAATTAAAACCCATTTGTTTCTTCAAAAGAACGAAATTGTGCTAAAGCTCTCAAGCACTAAACCCTTAGTGCAACAAAACTGAGGAATTTGTCTAAGGGTTTAGTGCTTGAGAGCTTTAGCACTATTTCGTTCTTTTGAAGAAGCAAATGGGTTTTAATTAAGATTTTTTAATTATTTTAATTTATTTGTTGGAAATATGTTTTACGAGTGATCTACCAATTATACCCCTAAAATTTGTAACCGGGTTGTTAGATGGTTTGATTCACAACTGAGAGTTTATTTCTAGGATGTAAAAGTTTCGGTTTTTAAATGTGAATGACCAATTTGCTTCGTTTTAAATATGAGGGACGAAAAGAATATTTTTACGAAATGTGAGGGATGAAACAGGTCATTTTCTCTTAATAATAACCAAACAAACAAATTAAACTATTTTAACTTATCATTGACTAAACAAAATCAACTAACTTATAGATCAAGATTGGCTTTTAACAAAACATCAGGACCATCTAAATATAGGAAAGTGTCAAGTAGATTACATCTTCCATGCATGTATGCCATATAATTATTATCATTTAGTATGTTTATCTCACATTAATCCGGCGTACGGAATATGTGCCAACTCTTATCTAATTAATTTTTTTTGTGAATGCATATTTAAATACAACTATTTAAAATCTTTCTACTTAGTTAAGATCATTTGAGTTATATTTCAACAAGTGGCATTAATAAGATAACTTCTCTACTATTTGAGGTGTCGAATCCTTATAAATTACTCACTATCCCTCCATACTTCATGCTATACCCAATCTCTAATGATATGGTTACCCAATTACAGTATAATGATTAAGATCATTAAAGTATAGCAATCCACATTCAAGGTATCATGATAATCTTAAGGAGTAAGATCACTTATACATACAACATATAGAGAATATATCATTGCCAGTCAAATAGTTATCCATATGATATTCTCTATACAAATCAATCTAGTAAATTTGATTGTCTTATCAAGCACCTATATAACTAATTTTGATATCACTACATTATAGTATATGAGATCTACTACTTCCTTCAAAAGAAAGAAATATAGTATACTCTGATTTATCCATATTAATAGTATTCCGTCTGTTAATACTACCACTAGAGATTTTTAAAAATAAATTCTAGTTAAATTTATCTCAATATCATAGCATTTATAATTATATTTATCTAGGTATATGTTTATTTTAGGGACTTTACATATTTAATTGATAAAACAGCACAACTATAAGATATAATGTCATTCATTGTATATAAATAATTAATGTAAAATGACAAAATCCTAAACTTTAAAGCATACATACTAATACCAGATCTATCCGCTACCAATTTGCGGATTAGTTTGACATTAACTTAAATGATAATAAAACTTTCCTGAAACAGCACATTGATTCCTTTATAGCACAACTATGATGGTTTTAAGGAGACACTGAGGACACAAATGATTCTGATAATAATGTGGATGATGATCTTGATAAGGAGAAGGAGGACAACTCTAGTAATGAGAATGATTTTGGTCCTCCATTTGTGGAGGCTGAAGAAGAAGATCAAATTGAAGAAGTATTGATCATGACATGATTCTAGCAAGACTCCTTGAAATACTTTGAACTTCTAACTTGCCACTTTCACTCGTAGATCTATGTACGACCAACTTGTAGCTGAGTTTGGTGTAAATTTGGATGATCAGAAAGCTTTCCTGATGATGTACATTGATTCTTTTATAACACATCTCAATGACAATGATGGTTGCGAGAAGAATGAACTAAGGATTTTGATAATTCTAATTCTTATGGTTTTGAGGAGCATGATGATCCTGAGGATTTCGATAATTATGGTGGTTTTAAGGAGAATGATGATCCTGAGGATTTTGATAATAATGAGAATAATGGTAATCTTATCAGGATTCTAACTTGGATGGACCCAAACGATGAGTGAGGTCTTTTGAAAACTAGTTTGGTTGGCTAAAATGTTTCTTCATTCTTTTGCTTTTCTTTTGTGTTTTATCCTCCTGTTATGCTCATTTGATTAAGTGTAGACTTTTGGTAGCCAATCAAACTAGAACTATTATGCCTAAATTATTGTTGAGGAAAAACTTTCTGAGAATTTTTAAGCGCTGTTCATAGGAAGTGTAGAATGGGTCAAAAAAAGCTATGGGACTAAAGTTGCAATTCAAAAAAAATTGTCTTTTTGGTCTAGCCAAGAAGTGCCAGCATAAAACTCTTTACTGGCAAGTTAGTGGTGGTGGCTAGTGGCTTTAGATTACCTCACCCACTGTTTTTAGCATGCACATCAATAGCCACAAATTAAAACAATAATAAGTTCATGGAAAAAAATCTAGATTTCCTTGATTCAATTTCAGTTTATGCATATTTACAAACATCTTAGAAGCATTTACAAAATCACAAGTTTCATGTTTTGATTAAACATGTGCAGGTATAAAGTTCCTCATATCAATAGTATAGATTCACAATAAATTTGACAAGATTGGATCCAATATTTCAACAAGCCCCCCAAAATTTTGACATATACATATGCCTAAAGAATAAAAATACATTTTCATATAGTTTAGCTTTGATCTTTGCCAACAAGATTGGCCAGCAAAGAAATATATTTTAAGTATCGAACTCTTTTGGCTAGTTTTTGGGAAATGTTATGTTATGAAAGAAAAGAAAAAAAGAAAAAAAAAAGAAGAGGATAAAGTTTAATGTTGCTTGAGATTTTGGGAAAGAAATGGAAGGATTTTAAATATATACATCATTAAAATTTTATTTAATATATATCTAAGGATAGAAGTGGCATTTAGAAAAATTCTACAAAGCTTTTTTCAGCTTTCCTTCGTTTTGTGCCCAAATTTGGGTGGAAAATTTTTTTCCTCTATAGCTGCATAATATATCCCACTTAATCTTTTGGTAAACCAACTCTCTCTCATTTTTCTCTGCTTTCCCCAAACATTGGCTCCCAAACAAACACTTAGCACAATCAAGATTTTCTAGAGACGAGATTGTTGAAGGACGAAGACCAAGAATGTTGGAAGTTCCTTTTTTTCGATTTTACATTTAAATTGCAATTTTGAAAGTTTTTAGAAGAATGAGAAATTGTAGCATAATTTGAGATATGTATTTCTAATTCAAGAGAATTGATAGGTCATTTGAATAAATATGTTGCACCCATTTTTGTATCCACTCTCTTCTTTAATCATTATTATTTCTTTCTCTTCTAATAACTTTTATGGTTTTTAATAAAATTTAATTATTTGTTATTATGATCCCTCTCTCTTCTAAAAACTTTTGATCTTTGTAAATAAATTTTTACGTACCTGTCTATATGGAGTAACTTTAATTAGTTTGATCTCAATTGTTATATCGATAAATTCATTATTACTACTAGAAATTGAATATGTTTGTTCATGAAAAATAAATTATTACATCTATTGCATTTAATTGAACACAAATATGTAATTTAGGTTAATAATCACTGTGAAAGTTAATAATCATCTCATAAAATATTATCATGTCAAATATGTTGTATAGAAGTTATTAAAAATTGGTATGGTAGCTGAACACTTAGATTATATTGATTTTCTAAAATAAAAATTAATGAATCTGAAAGAATGTTTTTGACATCTTTTTTATGGAATTACTCAAAAAAGTTAATAACGGATGTAAATAAAGGTTCTTATGCACGGGATAAAATACTAGTTTTATATGATCCTTTTCCTTAAGTGTTTCTTTATTTCTTATCCAATAAAGTTGCATGGTACTTTAGAATTATTATTGCTGTAAAGTATTCGAGAATATTAGTCTGGTGCACTTGAACCACGAACAATGGAAATGCAGCTTCTACTTCCATTGCCTAATGATGGTTTTCTGATAGCCCTATATGCATACATTCAGCAAAAAATGAATACTTCAATAATAAACTCCACCTCCTTTCCAACTCCGCCTGCAAATCTTCATATGTCAATACGGAGCAAAACACAAATAAACAACCAAAAAAGCAGGGAAATTTTGTGATATAGTAAAAGGAAATGTGGAAATTCAAAAAGAGAATAAAAGTTTGATGAAATTCAAATATGGGGAGTCGGTGCATCAATGCTTTAAATAAAAGAGTAGCAAGTGAAATGATAAATGGACCAAGAAGCATAGTTGCTAGTGGTGAACACAAGTCGGGCACCCACCCCGGTGCACACCATTTGACTGATTTGACCAGCATTTTACGAGTCAATTATTTTTTTGCCCTTATTTGTTTCGCGTATCAACGTGTACCCGATTGGCAGACACTCGTTAAAAGAGAGTCGAGTCAACAAGTACCCATCCCATTTCGCCCCACTCACCATTTGTTTTTTTAAAAAATAATTTATATTAATTTAATATTGTATTTTACATATTCATCTAAGACTCAATATAAATTTTTTTTTTCTAAAAAAAGTCACCTACTAAGAAATAAGTATACAAAGATTACAACTAACGGAAAAATGTTAAAAGAATTCAAAATTAACTAATTAAACTCTTTCCTAAAAAACATTAAATTATGACATATATATATATATATATATATATATATATATATCATTTGACCGGATCAAGTACCTACAAGTTCTTAATCCCATAACTCTAACCCACCCCACATATAAGTGGATACCCAATCCTATTTTGATCTAGTCAAATAATATGGATCGACTACCTTATTTTCGGATCGAATCAGATATTGTAAGTTTTAAGATTGGTGGGTATTTTTATCTGCCGCTGTTATTATTTACCGGCTCATATAATGATCAAAAGCCTACAAATCTTTTGTTTAAAACGTTGAAACCAGAAAGAAGTTGAATAATAGAAAATTTGTTGCTGCTCCATTTCTCAAAGTTCTGGATTACGTAATCAAATTCCTAAATCTCATGTCACCACACCTAAATCCCTGCAACCTGCAAAATTTCCGTGGCCAAATCACTTGCTGTTACAATGAAGACATAATATGCTGTAAGCAAAATAATAAGGGCTTTTTAACAATGATATTAGAGAAAATCTTGCTGAATATTATGCTATTGTAGTACATAGGCAATTTTTTTACACACACATATATATGTATATGCAATCACAGTGTATTCATATGACTACCTAAATGTAAAAGGCAAGCAATCCAAACTGGCAATCATTTTAGCACGACAACTAGATGAGTCATCTAACAACCTCATGTGCAACCATGAAATTATCAAATTGGGGATCATTATTGGCTTAGTTGACTTAATTCTTACATTGACAAATATGAAAACACAAAAGAAATCAGAAGTGACATTTAAAGAAAGAAGGAAAAACCCAATAATTCGTCATACAAGGAAGCATATACCTTTTTCTTTTTCAAAGACAAAAGTCTTGGTCACACACTCCTGTTAGGAATACTTGCTTTTTGGCAACAACAAGGCAACCCTTTGTCAAGATTCAAGTTTGAGTACAAGATAGAACTAAGCAATAGCTTTATTTTTAACGTTTTAGGACCAAAAGCAAAGTTTCTCAATATAAAATTTCAAGAACAAGAAGGGAAGTGTCTTGATTTGATTTTTGCCTGGTGAGGTGCATTAACCAAGTCTCACCAAGAGGGGATTTGTCTATTGAATGGAAAGTCACTATAAGGGGTTTCGACCAAAGCTCAAAAAAGGAAAAAAAAATCAACAGGTTGGAAAGACCATAGGTCTTTCTTGCATCCTCAACGTGCCTACTGGAATTAGTAACAAAGCTATGATTCATATTTACAATTACCAAAGTTACAAATAAGGACATATGTTTACCAACATTATACATAAAAATCTCATAATTTTGGAGGAAGAATAATAAAGAACTAAGCTGTTTTGCAGAACTATGGAACTGTTATGAAGATGAACTAAGTATTGATGTTAGGAGAAAGAGCAGACTGGGTATGGCATTCGTAGTCTGTAGGGTTTTACAAACGATCTTCTTCTTTTTTTTTTTGGTGAATATAAGGAGCTTAGAATAAGAATGCTAATTGAAAGACTTTAATATGGGGTTGGTATTTGTGACTATGAAGTAATTGGAAGAAGGTTGCTCTGGTAGATTAAGCTAGTTAATGAAGTGTCACAATTTTGTTAACCGTCGTTTATACTAACAATGTATAGAAAAAAAAATAATCCAAACTATACTCACCAAGAAGCTCTTGATCATCAAAAGTTAGAAAATATTTCAAGAAGCTCTTGTAAATCATGCATGTCTCATGCAGGACCAGTTCCATATTTGTTTTTCTTAACTGCAGAGGGGTAAAAAAGCCATGATAGAATTGAAAGTACTTGTAAACAACTTCCTTTAGAGGAGTTAACCATCACATGAATTGTGAGGTGGTGGAAGGTTAAGGGTTTAAACCCTACCTCCTATCAATGAGTTTGTTTGGATAAGAGTTTATTTGGATGATTTATTTGAGATATTTACTGTAGCACTTTTTGTGATGTGATGTATGTGAGATAAAAAGGTGATTGAAAAAATAAAAAGGTGATTGGGATTTGTGAGAATAAATTTTGCAAACCAAATTCTCTCTATCCAAACAAACTCATTGTGTCACTATATATGTGATTTCTTCTAAATCTATATGAGTATATGATACTCTCATCTGGTCAAATGATGATTCAATCCCCGTCAATTCTCTCAGTTTGGTTGCACCATCCCCCATAAAGTAGGTTAGAGTAAGAGGAGGAATAGACGTAGACTAGATTAGGTGTGCTATTACGAAAAAAAATTGAAAGTACTTGTTAATTGCCCCCTTTTCCTTGCCTAAAAAAGTCATTCTCAGACACCAATCATTTTTTACACCCTGTACTAATATTTATCCCACCATGGAAAGCCGCACAGAGTGTACAACTGATTAATAACTCATTTCATTAATCCTTCTTGGATCTTCAATTTTTATGATAGTTTAGTAAATTAAAAAAAAAA